GACAGCAGGCAGCCAGGCAGCTGATGCAAACAGGGAGGCTTGCTTGCTTCAGTGACGGAGGACTACAACGTCCCCCGCCTGCCGCTCTGGCCTCTGAGCTCCTGAAGCAACAGCTCCAAAAGATACAATGTTTCAATTATAGAGCTAAAAGATGGTGGTTAATTTGCATACACCAGTTGCGAGGGAAGACTGAGGACAAAATGGAGGCCAAGCGGTACAGAGGGAGCCAAGGCTGTGGAGATGGGAGGCGGGAGGCGGAAGGGAAAGCCCAGTCACAGTGGCTGCGAGCTGGAGGGGCAGTGGCTTGGAGGGGAAGGGGCAGCTCCTGGGAGCGGGAGAGGAAACCCACCACAGCGCCTGGGAGTGGGAGGGGAAACCCAGCAGGAGCAGCTCGGAGTGGGAGCGAAGCCTGCCTCAGCTGGTTTCACTCCCCTATCTGCTTGGCTCCAGCCACTGGAAGCCCTATTCTTGCAGGAATCTTCCTGCAACGGGCCTCTAGTCATTAGTATATTATGCTTTGATTGGTTGAATGGCCCACCAGATGACCAGACACTTAGCATATTGGGCTTTTATTATATAGGATTACATTGCTGTATTACAGGAATAGAGCAAGATTATGTAATTATAGATTAAAACAATAGTACAATAGACAAACATGTATGATATCATTACATAAATCACTGGGTCTAATATTTTATAGCCATATATCACAGAGCTGTGGTTACTGAATAAGTGATAGCATAGTGGAGCGCCGCACTCCTCAGGGTCATTTGCATGTCATTAGCATATCCTCCAGGGTGTGAGGGGACTGAGGGCTGTGGCTTGGCAATCAGCCACCTGGATTACCAAGCTGTAGGGAGAGTTGCGTTTGGCCGAACGTGCCTTTATACCGAAAGCCACACAATCCCCGACCGACTCCAGCCCCTTCTCAAGAGCTCTTTGGATCTCTGCCATTCTGGCTTAAAAAACAGACACCTGAACTCTGACAAGACGACACTCACTGCATCACCTATTAGCACATCTTCAGCTGGGGCTAATTCGGCCCGGCCCGGCTGCCCTGTCAGGACCTCCACCTCTTCTCAGATGCTGAGTCTGCACAAGCTCAGAGCTGGATGTACCTCAGTGGCCCCCTCGTCCCCCTCCCAGAGCCAGGGGCTGTCTCCGGGGTCACTGAGCTGTGACTGGTTATGGCTCATGCTCCAAGGAGGTGCATGGGAACAAGTGGGCCCAGGGTGCTCCCAGGAGAGAGGTGCTGGGGCCCCGAGAGCGGAGCAGCGAGCCCACAGCGGAGGTCTGCCCTGGGTCCCGGGCACATGGAAAAGCAACCAGCCGTGTGGACGGGCCAGCACTGAGCAGTCTGGAGCGAGTGCTGGTGAAGTCAGCGCACGAGGAACATGGCACGGACGCTGAGACCTGGGCCCAGGAAGCAAGACCTGAAAGATCCCAGTTCCCTGCCCGGCCTGCTCAGGCCCAATTCCCCTCTTCCTGTCCGCTGCTTCCTGTTCTCACGTCCCCCCGTCTGGTCCTCACTTCTCAGGTTGGGAGGAAGACCAGCCCCCGGTGGCCTCAAGTGACTCCTCCGAGGGCCCCGAGCCGTGTGAGCTCGGGCTGTGCCAGGGGTGCCCAGGGCAGGAAGCAGACGGTGGTGCGCCCACTATCTGCTGCCTCCGTGTGGCCCCTGCCCCGCACCGGGCCCACTCTGACCCTGGGGTCGTTTTCTCCTCTCTCGGCAGGTATGACACCATCACCAACCAGTGGGAGGCCGTGGCCCCGCTGCCCAAGGCCGTGCACTCTGCAGCAGCCACCGTCTGCGGCGGCAAGATCTACGTGTTCGGTGGCGTAAATGAGGCGGGCCGCGCCGCGGGCGTCCTCCAGTCTTTCGTTCCGCAGACCAACACGTGGAGCTTCATCGAGTCCCCAATGATCGGTGAGAACCAGCGTCTCCTCGGCCCAGGGCAGTGCAGCGTCCCCACCTCATCCTTTCATTGGGTCTCAATAGCCCAGGCCCAGAGGGCGGGCTCAGCCCAAGGCCAGGGGCGGGAGGGGCAGGCGAACCCCAGCCTACGTGCAGCTGCGGATCCCACCCCCTGGACCCAGGGCAAGCTATTCCATGTGCAGGTGCCTCCTGGCCCTGGGCCCTGTCCGCAGGCCGGTCAGTGACACGGGCCTTTCCAGGTCCCTTCCCCTGGGGGGTTCCCTGGGGTTGAAAAGGGGAGAGAAGGCCAGAGCATCGCCCTAACCTGCCTGGCCTGCTCTCCCCACAGACAACAAGTACGCGCCCGCCGTCACCCTCAACGGCTTCGTGTTCATCCTGGGTGGGGCTTACGCCAGAGCCACCACCATCTACGACCCGGAAAAAGGGAACATAAAGGCGGGCCCCAACATGAACCACTCTCGCCAGTTCTGCAGGTGAGCAGGCGGGCGATTCGGCCAAGGTGGGGAGGAGGAGGGGAGGCGGGCGGGGACCGGACAGTAGGAGAGGTTTGAGTGCAATGCCTGACCTCCATTCATTGACCAAAGGGAGTCCCGGGCCCAGAGCAGCGGCCCGACAAACACAGGTGTGGGCATTGGTGCCCCAGCAGAGTGTGAAGCGCCATCTCTAAGCCGGAAATGAAGGGCTTCCTACGGGGCCCTGCCCGGGTCCCTCCAGGCCACCCTTCTCTGGGTCGGGCGGGAGAGTGGGGCTGCAGGTCAGCTTTCCCCCAGGACCACCTGCCCATCGCAGACAGAGGCAGCGCCAGGCCAGAGCTGCGCCAAGCCCTACCGGGGACAAGCAGCTCATGGGGGTGCCAATGGTGCCATGATCCTGGTGGCCCTTTGGAGCCAGGCCCAGCAAGTGGCACCCGGAGTCTCAAAGCTGCCTGGGCAGAAACACACGAACCAGCCCCCCGCCCCCAGGACAACATGGGAGACATCAGTGTGTGGCTTGGTTCCCAGTCATCCTGGCCCCGTGGCCCAAGAAAACCAACTCCCCTGGGCAGTGAGACACAGACCTGCGCCCACACCCCTTGTTCCTGGACTAAGAGGAACCAGGACTACGAAGGAGCCCCAAGACCCCCTTTTAGCATTTCCTTAGCAGATGGTGTGTGAAGGCAGCTCAGCCCCTGCAGAGCGGGTCCCCAGTCCTCAGTGTGGACAGCATGAGCACTAAGCAGAGCCCACTGTTTGTGCGGCATAGCCAAAAAGCTAAAAGCTGCTGCGAGCCTGTGGTGTGACCTTGGAGAGGGAAGGACCACCCCCCGCCCCGAGGTCCTATCCATGAACCAGGCAGGGGGACGGGACGACTGCTGAGTGCCTGGCAGCACGGAGGTCCCAGTTCTCCTCATGTCGCACACTCTAATGGTGGCATGCGCAGGGCAGCTCCGACTGCCCTCCCCCTGATAAGGAGCTGGAGTTTGAGCAGGGCTTGTGGGAGGACTCCCCAACCTCACCTGAGACTCAACGTGGGCGCCGAAAGATGAAATGCTGAGGGAGGTTTGAGCTGGGTCTTGCAAGAGAAGCAGGGCGAAGCTGTGCCCCAAGGGGAGGAGCGTGGGGCCTGATGGCGGAGCAACTGAGGGACCTTGGGTGTCTGCTGAGCAGTCTAGAGTCTAGACCAGTGATGGCGAACCTATGACACGCGAACTCATTTTTTTGGTTGATTTTTCTTTGTTAAATGGCATTTAAATATATAAAATAAATATCAAAAATATGTCTTTGTTTTACTATGCTTGCAAAGATCAAAAAATTTCTGTATGTGACATGGCACCAGAGTTAAGGTAGGGTTTTTCAAAATGCTGACACGCCGAGCTCTAAAGGTTCGCCATCACTGCTCTAGGCTGATGTGCTCAGTTGGAGGCTCGGAACTTCAGAAAGGGGTGGAGACGTGCAAAGGGTATCTGTTCAGCCGACAGCCAAGAAGAAATGGCCATTTGCCCAAGTGAGCGAGCAATCGGGGCTAGATGTGTGGGTCTGCGTGAGGGGCGGCTAAAAGGAGGAAGTGCAGACGGGACAGCTGGGGAGCTCACAGAGGGACCGCTGGCTGAGTCCCAGGACCAAGCCAGGGAGCGAGGCGCGGGACCACGTGGTAACCCTGCAGGAGCTCCCCGCCGCAGCCACGGGTGGGCAGCCGCGCCGGCCCCGCGGTTAAGGAGCCGCAGCAGGAAGCTGTGACTCTGACCCTCGGCCAGGGTGCAAACGGCACTCACTCCACCGAGCTCAGTTATACTGGCTCCTGTCTGTGCCCACGGGATCTGAGCGGCAGGAAGGCCCGGTGTGGGCATCAGGAAATGCGGGGACGCGCTGAGCTGAGCCGAGAGCCTGTACAGGAGGCTGTTCACCTTCAGTCAGACCCGCAGGCCCTGGGCACCCAGTATGCACGTGTCACCCCCGCTCCCAGGGGAGTGCCGCATGGCGTCCTGATGGGCGGTGGGGAAAGATGTTTTCCTTATACAGCTGAGGTCAGAGGGCAGAGGAGAGCAGCCAGATCCCGTGTGGCTTTTGCAAAAGGGCAGCAGCAGCGGCCACACACCGGGAGGGAGGCTCTGTCTCCAGGCCACGTGGAAGCTCCATGGCTGACCTCTCCCCGCTTCCCCCGGCAGTGCCGTGGTGCTCGACGGCAAGATCTATGCGACGGGGGGCATCGTCAGCAGCGAGGGGCCGGCGCTGGGCAACATGGAGGCCTACGAGCCCGCCACCAACACCTGGACCCTCCTCCCCCACATGCCCTGCCCCGTGTTCAGACACGGCTGCGTCGTGATAAAGAAATACATTCAGAGCGGCTGACGTCCGCGGGACAGCCACGCGAGACCGTGGACGAGTCTGGTGAGGCACGTGCTCCTCACAGGATCAGTTTTCAGCAACACCCACAAGAGGCCGACAGACACACCCGAGACTCGCGGC